ACTTGGATGAATTGTAATGAATGAGATTAATGACGCAATATGAAGTAATGAAAATCACAACGAAGAAACAAGATTAAAAAAAAAAGAAATAAACAAAGAGAGTTAATCGCAAAGGAACGATGCATAGACAACGCGGACACAAGCCGAGCAAGAAAAAATCCATGGATTTAGGGTTTAGCATAGGCAATTCGGAACAAGACTAAGTCAAGGTTTAGCATTGCCTATGCATGGTTCATAGACTCCCGTTTGCATCGGCTTATTAAAAAAAAAAAAAAAAATCCATGTGCAAGCTGCTCGTTGGCGAATTAACTTATGAATCATGCATAGGCAATGCCAAACCCTAAATCAGCTGCAACTGCAGGTGCCATTAAGTCACATTTAGGCACTCGTATGGTCGCCTAAATTTGAATTTTTAACTTGTTTTATTTTTTTCTTTAGACGAAAGAGATAATGTTATGATTTTACCGTTGAGTCAGTTGCTTACCGTTTGTATCAGTTTATGCAGTGGAAGTGTAGCTTGAATCCCAAGTTGATTTTACAAAGATCTTTGCCGATCAATTTCAAGCCAAAGTTTACATCAAGTGATTTCTTTTTATCCAGTATTTTTTGAAATGGCAGTTAGTTGTGAGCATGTCACCCAGGTCAAGGCAGCTTCTCTTACCCTCAACCTAATTCACAGAACAACCATTTCAAATAAATTCTGGCATCTTCTAAACTAAAGTCTCCCTTACGAAGGAGAAAAATCAAGAGACAAACTCATTACAAATAAATATCATCAACACTTTTATTCCTACTACCATCCTGAAACTCATAACGAACACACAGACACACACACCAAACACAAGATGTGAGTGTGAGTGTAAAAAACCGATGGACTATTTATGATGTATTAGCAGTTAGTATTTCGTAGCTTCACAAGAGGAAGCACTAAACTAATCAAGGATATCAAGAACAATGACATGTTGCTAAGAATAATTTTGATGGATCCACTCCACCACATGAAAGAATAATAGGATAGGCCACACAATGATTCTATAGCCAACTTGCATGCTAAAACCGCGCTTTTAAGGCATGTGCCATGTTCTACGCAGTTGAAGAATCGTTGAAATCAAATATGTGATGAAACTACGAATATTACATACCATAGATGTTGAAACTTAACTTCAAAATCCCCCATTACAAGAATCACGAGCATAACCCAAATTGATGGTATTCTTTCGTTGAAGTGATGTCAAGAGCAATGAATTGGTTTGAAATCTACCATTTAAACTGATACAAGTATATCTAACATTGATTGGCTATGATGACTGCCTATGTACCATATAATCATATTTCACGCATAAACTATCCTTGAGGTTCTTGCTATGATACAACAAAGTTCACTTTCAGCATTCCCGAACTAAAGTCTACTTCAACAAGTGAGTTCACCTTCTAGGGCAATCTTTAGAAAGCCCAAAAAAAATTCTGCATGGAGAAGACAATGAAAGAATAATGACACACGAGTGATTTGAGAATTATAAGTATGATAATAAATCTGTGTAAAATGTCAGCGAAAGGCAAACGACAGTGAAAGCAGGACAATTTTGTAGCACGAAGAAGCTAACTTGTTTCAATCAAAAGAAATATCCCGTAAACAAAGTTTTCCCACAATACTGCTAGTTAAATGACCAGACACCTTATGTTTTGAATGGTGTTATTTTTTATTGATGGAAAATACTTCACCAGGAATTTTAATCAGAACTTACAACTGAGACGGAAATAGAAGGTTCTTCCCTTACTGTACAGTATGGACCCTATATTCTAGAACATAATCAATTTTTGCTATGTAAGTATATGTACGAGATTGTGAAGAATTTTTTGGCAATAGTTCGAACTTAGATCCCATAACGTTGGTAAAATCAATTCTGTAGTAATAGAAATTTTTCAAAAAATAAAAATCAAGTTAAATGTTAGCAGTACCAAAGTATTTGTACCAACAATTTCTTCATAAGGGCAGCCAAAGCAGTCACAAGTATACAAATAGTCAACACAATTTTGGTCCACAACAATAAGTAAAAGAGAGAATGGCATGACTAGCATCATGCTAAGAAACTTCAGATGATATGCAAACAAAGACTGGATGGAGTCCTGTAAACAAATATGCAGAATGCACTAAGAAGGTAACTAGTTAAAAACAAGGGATAAGCCCATAAAACACCTCTCCGACACACAGGAGGGTTATTAATTAATAATTACCAACTCGAGAAAAGAGAAGTCAATTAGCTCTCATTTTTAGTGTTTCGTCTTCCGAGAAGCATAATTTTTAGTCACATTCAAACCAAATTCAGCCAATGATTTTTTATGCAGGATGTGACAAAGGAAGAGAATGCGAGAAAATAGGAAGAGAGGAGAAGAGAATGGACAGAAATATAGGGAGGGGCGAGAGATTTAACAGGAAAATCTGTCATTCAGCATTCATAATGTCGTATGAAATGGTAAAAGCCAGGCCCTCCTTTATATAACAAAGAATTAAAGTCTAATAGAGCTTTTAGTAAATAACAAATATTATTTCAGTTCAGTGAATAACAATTATTAAATTAAAAATCACAGTTAACAAAATTACTGAATCTAGTCTATATCAAACTCTATCTTAAATCTTATCTATCATAAGATATCTATTCTTGTACAAAATGGATGAGTATATTCATAAATACAGTGTCATTAATAGGATACATGTATACACATTAAGTAGCATCCATTTATAAAGAGTATAAATAGGAGCTTTGATTGTATTTTGAACACAATTTTTTTATTAGTCTGATATTAGGTCTAATTTTATATGAAAGGTGCCATCCTTCTCTGTTTGATTGACTACATAGGAGTTGTGGATTCCTTAATCTTGTATTTACTTAGCTTTTCTTTGGATGGTAATAATTGCGTCATGGGGTATTTCTATTTGGATGGTGAGCTATTCTATCATTTATTTATTCCTAGAAGAAGAATAAATACATTTAACACGTGCCTAAGCCTATAGAAATTGCTTCATGTCGGCTGATACTTGGTAATCAAAAGGAGATGCCACCCCACTTCTTTTCCTTTTAGGTTCACAATTTCAGTGTAAGATGAGAAAGAGGACCTAACAAAGACCAACATCCGTATATACAAGTGTAAGCACTACAGTAAAAAGTTTGTGACATGCAGGGTGAAGAATGACAATGATACATGAAGTTGGAAAATAAACTTTCATTAATATGTTATACCTCAGATAATTTGATTAATAGAAAGAAATAGATCCCTCAAATTCTCAACTGCTACATCAGAGCAGAAAAAACAATAACAGACCGCTTGCTCCTTTTCAGCCTGCAACCTTTATCGCACCCATCTCGTCAATCTTTGAGCTCTTATGCTGCAACATTGTAGTGCATAAGAAGATGGCACTAATCAAGAAAATATGGAAATGTATGTAAATGGCTAATAATAAAACCCATGAGAAAATCTCCACACAATATCTCAGATATACACGAAAAAAATAAAAATAAAGGAATAGAAGAACCATGTTGTCAATTGTCCCTTGTTACCTTACTTCTCTTGTGCTTGTGAATGTCATTGATATCTTCATCTCCACCATGCTTCCTTTTCTAACATCATAAAGAATTTTATTAAGTGCATACAGTGATAGAATACTCATGTAGGAGGAGAAGAGTCTGAATGGTTTACAGAAAACTTCAAAAGAAAGGCTATGACTGACCCAGATACAAATCAAATTTACAACTCGTCGGAATTCCCATAAAATTACCTTCTTGTGTCTAAAGAAGATATCATCATTTCGGTCTCATTAATTAAACATAGTACTACTTTAAAAATCAGTCACCAGGAAAGGGAAAACATGAATCACAGGTAACACGTGGTTCATAGCATATGGTAATCCATTGCTAATAACGGTTGCCCATTACCAGAAGCTTTCAGCGTAGAATTCTCCCTTCACAAGAAAAAATCACACAAAAGAATACATTTGCAAACCTTCTCATGATGTTTCTTTGAGTGCTCAGTGCCAGAATCATGATGGCCACTATTATCTTTCTTTTTCTCCTTTTCCTTGTCTTTACTTCGATCTTTATGGCGATGCTTGTGCTTCTTGGGCTCTTTATCTTTCTCCCTATCTTTGTCCTTGTGCTTTTTATGCTTCTTCTCCTTGTCTTTAGACTCATTTTTAGATTTTCTGGCGATTACAGGAGTACCCTTCTCAGACTATAAAGTATCACAAGATACCACATTAGTACTTCCAAGAACAGTAAAAAATGTGGCAATAAATATTTGTAAGATCAAAGATCACTGAGTTCAGGAGCCTAAAATATGAAAATTAAAGTCACAATGGAGGAATGATTTAACATGCTGGATCAAAAGTTCAGAATTCAGTTTAGGCCTCAGAAGCAGCAAATTTCTTACAGGAGGTAGTACAACTGGAATCATTTCCCTGAATTGAAAGGCTTCTCTGAGAACATCCAAGTCAAATGGCTGTATCGGAACATTAGTCTCTCTTAAAAAAGATGTATCCTGAGTGAGCTGGTCTAATTGCATCCCTTCTCCTTTTCTTAATTCTGTGTCTCCAACCACATTGTGAAGGTAATGTGAGTTGGAAATGGAGAGGGGAAGTGATCTCTTGCAGAAAAACTCGTGGTGAGGCAACAACTTGTAATGGCTAATAAGATCGACTGCACCTGTAAGTTCTCTTGGTCCTAATTTCAAAACACAACCAATTTGACAAAGAACACGAAGATAAAAGAGAAAGGGGATCAAATAGTAGAATTTTAGGGCAAGAGAAATAGTTTTATACATATAATCAAGTGTGCATGTTTACAATAAATAAGCACTCTATATATAGAGAAAATAATCTAAAATCAAAAGGACTTCTAATAATCTACAACTTTACCAAAATATTAAATCTAATTAATCCCCTATTTGGGGCTTCATTAAAATTTTAATGCATTTTTCTCTCTATACTTTTCAACCACACATTTTTCAATAAAATAATATTACACACCAAAACTTTTCTTTCTTTTTTTAACCACACATTCTCCAAAAAATAATCATTCCAAAATACATTTTTCCCAAAAATCTCATTAAAATGGAGCCCAAACAAGGGCTTAATCTAATGTAAACAATCATAATTTGAATCATACTCTTATTTAAAAATCCTATCTACTACTGTTTCTATCTCCATCAATTGCTACAACTGCCACATTCTGAATTCTATACCACACATGCTTCCATAATGTCAGAACCTTACTGAAAACAAGCCAGCAACACGAAGCTGAAATTATGCATCTCTTTAATATATGCAAGTTCTTAATTATGTAAATACCTAATAGTACAATATGAAGTTAATCTCAACCATATTTACTCCATGCTAGCTTTATTTTTGGAAATATTGATTTAAGGCAATATGACCTCAAATCAAAAGTCGGAACATGTATCCAGATTTTACCCACATCATGATATAAAAAGAGCGCGTAAACAAACAAACTTTCCATTATGATAAATGGTAATTTAGAGATCTTACCTCTTCCAAATTTCTTGCTATCAGGATCCATCAATCAGAAGCTGTGAAAGTAGAGCAATATTCCCTGCGAATTATTCAAAGAAGAAAACAAATAATCAATTACTAAATTAAGCAGTAATGCGTTTGATTAGCATGAGAATACCATACACAACAGTCAGTCCATTCCTCTAACAGTCTTTTTCAGGGGGATCAAAGGTTCATAAGGATTCAGTAGGATCCAACACCACAAAACATTGAAACCTAGACAGTTGATCCCCCCATTAACCCAATCTATTTATATTTGCTTCTATAATGACTGGTATATCCATGTATACATCAGAGTTGTTGATGATGTGATAAGTAATAGCTCAGGAAAGATCAGCATTTCACAGCTGGGACTAAAGCAGGTTTTGCATTAAAATACAAAAGCTGCTTCAAGGTGGTGCTGGTGGTGGTATAGGGAACATTTCACTGGTATCCCTCATTGAAGGAGTACAAAGCTGTAAATAAGAACACATTAGCAACTGCTCCAATCCTTGCTCACATATAATGGCCTTCGTTAGATATTGGAATCTGTTGTGGAATTAGAGGATGAAGAGAAAGATCTGAAATTAGGTAGGAAAGCAATTCCTCGTACTTAGCCTAAGCCCATAAAAAATGTATTCATGATTTATATCATTTGAGGAAATCCTTTTGAATGCAAATAAATTGATCTGCAAACATAGTGGCATTGGCACTGAAGCTACTATTTGATGGCGTTGGCGCTTGAGGGTTGCATTGTAGCAACTACCAAGCATTTCGCACTAATCTATTTTCCTCTCTTTTCTACCATTTTAAGAATGAAGCTTTTGCAATGCTTGTCCTTAAATTCTTCTTTGTTTGTTATGCATTAACCTCTTGTTTATGTTTCTAACATGTTACATCTTATGACATGAATCAATCTACAAATTTTGTCTGGGCATCCCCAACTAGCAACGAGCTACAAAGAATTCCAAGTATAGTGAAAAGTAATGGATAGGTAAGGCATACTGCAAAAGGGATGTGGCACTTTGGTGCCCAGAGGAGTTGAAAAGTAAACAAGGGTTCCCCGCTCTAATGAAGAGAGATGGGTAAAGAAGTTATTTGAGAATAATTGAATTAGAAAAAGAACTTAAAATATAAGAATATTTTTAAATTATTGTAAAACTAGTAGATGTGTTGGAAACTAAACGTAGCTCGCATACAGGAGGTTGAATAAATAGGAGAGGTGGGGAATAATTAGGAAACAAGGGATATTAACTTTAGTATATAGGCAAGGAAAATTATAGAAATGGATAGAAAATCAAATAACCAGTAAACAGAATTTAAAGATGAGGCAATAGATTTATTTTTGCTTGGGAGAAAAATCTTTATTTTAAGTGTTATTAGCAATCTAACATGCATCCTCAATATATAGCATGTGGATAAGCTAACAAAGCAACATAGGGGGAAGACATGGATAGATTGATTCAGCCATTCCGCAGTCAGGATAAGGTCTTCATTGAGGGAGATTTGTACAGCCATGTGATGGAAACATAACGCAGAATTTATGAAAAAATTGACGTTAGGCCCGAAATGGACAAAAAAATTTACACTTTTGGTGTTTATATTGACTTATGATTTGGTATTGCTGAATCCGTGCTTCGAAATGAGATTCACCTCTAAATTTTAGAAATGGGCATATTTCAATCAAATAGAATGTGGATAGGTCTTCATACAAGAACTGCAATGTGATTCCTAGTAAAAGCTCAACTATGCAACATGAATTAATGGTGCTTGATGTGGTTATTAAGAAATGGACAAATAGTATCAAACGGGTTTTGAGTTCAAACAACTAGACGGTAGAAGTACGGTGAAAAATAAGTGAAGTTCAAGGATAGCTTTTTCAAGGGGGGGAAATGTCTATAGATAGATATAGTAACGTGATGTAAAATGGATATAGATGCTTCCCGAACACACATCGAGCATGTGTCAGACAACCTGTATGGTGTGTTCTACAGTTTTCCTATTCCTCATGGTTCTAATACATAAAGAACATCTCCACACATCAAGGGTATTCAAAGCTCCATTTCGTAAATTTTAGAATATAAAAATTAGCAAAATAACATATAGTTTAACCTAAAAATTATGTTAGTAAAACAAATAGACGCTCCTCTAGTCCAAAAGATTTCACAACCTAAAGTTAAATATAAAAGAACCATTGATTTTATTGAAAGATAAAACATAAAAATAAATATGTAGTACATAAATTTATAATTTTAAAGACTTTACATGGACATGTTTGAGTCCTACTTTTCTGAAAAATTAGGAACTCAGAGTGTCAGATAGAGAAGTTGGCTGCCTGTGTAATTTGCTATCTTGGAGTGACAATAGATAAAAATTCTAGACAATTGTAATGATAGCACTACTCATTTACCTTTGAGTAATCAGGGGCTCGGCAAATGTTACCAATGACAATTGTCCAGATATACTAATTTCCCGAGAAAAAGTAAATGACCCATTACTTAAAGGAGAACCAAGGAAAGCTTTTAACTTCCCATCAGTGCAAGACCTGAGAAGTAGAGACAATTGATGCGCTCTCTTGCCTCTCTCACACAGTTGGAAACTATAAACCCAGTCAACTATCTACTAACTCATTAATGTGAAGTAAGTTCATAAAGGACGTGCTCATTCTTTATTACATGATAGTATTCTTTCCAATTCCAACACTTAAAATTTATATGCTTCTACTCTTATTTAATTTTACTTTTCTTGGAGTAGTTCAGTGTGTGTAAAAGTTATTTACTTTTAGTTTATCACAATTTTCTTGAATTTAGAAGTAGAAACATGCTCATTTTTGTAATATAAATATACTACTATTTTTATTGCTATAAAGTTCGAGCCTTCCAAAATTTAAGAGAAAATGATGGTACCATCTGTAAATTTTCAATTCTCGTGTACTTTTACTCTTATTCCCTCCATAAAGGCTCATCAGAATATAAATTATTAGACTTTTTTGCTGCCTTTTACTACTGTGTGGAACAAGAGACTTCAGCTAGAGTCTCTAGCTCCGACTTCTAGTTTACTAAGCATAACATTTCTCAGGAAAATAAAATGTAATGCTCTAAACTAGAGAGCCACTTCTCACATAGCCAATCTCACTATACACATCATAAAACCATTGTCCATTTCTAGTAGCAAATTCATGTACATGCTACATAACACCACAAATTCAATTTCTCAATAACAGTCAACCAAGGCTTAAAAGAAACAATCTTTTACAGTAATCCCAATTTCCCACATCTTCAAATCAATAACAGAACATGATCCGCAATTCATTCGGATATCAACCTTTCAGCTAATTAAATTATGTGCACAGAAAAATCAAAACCACGGAACAAGAAGAAATGCTTACTCGATCAAAACGTGAGAGATCCAAACGATCAAATTCTGCCACCGGAAAATGATAATTATCCCGTCCAAAAATTAGCGGACAAAGAAACGAATGGAGCAAACAAATTGATAAAGTTTTCAGGAGTTTTAGAGCATATTTATGGAGCCTTTTAACCGGAAGGAAAACCCTAATTCCTCCTGTAAGATGAAAACTCCGAGGTTTCTTGCTTGTTACCGTGCTGATTTCATTTCCCACGTGGACTAATAAAGACGTCGATTGCCCTTCGCGTCATGGGTTCTATGAGGACTTTTTTGCCATTTCGCATGTAAAGCGGAATTGCCGTATAAAAATGTAACCGTACATTCCAAACACAATGCCATCGTCTCCAGATTCTTCAGCGCATTTTAATTGCAAAGAAAATCCCTAATTTTTGCTCATTTTTCACTTACATCTTTAACTTTTTTAAACGCATTTCTATCTATAACTTTCAACCAAATTAATACATTTTATCTCCGATGACAATTTTTGTCAAAAATGCTATGCAAATGTGCATTGAAATGAAAGACAAGTATTATTTCGAACTTGCATTTTTTAGTTTGCTTATTCAATATTAAAAGAGGAGAACGAGTCTTTTCATGCCCCCTTAAAAAAATCTTGGACGAAATTTATCATTAAAGACGAAATGTGAAAATTAATTTAAAAAATTGTGAATAAGAATGTTATGAAATTAGTAGACGATGTGAGTGCAAAAATGACCAAATATTGAGGATATTTATTAAAATAAAATGTAGTTATTAACAAAATATAGTCGAAATAATTACACCTGTAGAAAATCATATAGGACTTTTTATTCACATTTTTGTCTCTGAAGATTTTGCATGTATCAATATTATTATTTGAAGGTTGCTTTTATAAATGGGAAATTTGAAGAAGAGGTCTTACACATCTGGTCAATTTTGTGTATGTATGTATAAATAAGTTACTTTTTATAATGTTTGTCACTGTTATAGAGTTCTTGATCTGTGATATTATGTCTTTTTTTATAATTTTGGCTCAAGTATCAGTTGTCAAGTAAGCAATGACTCGTCCTTATTTATTGAACTATTGGAAAATGGTTAAGCTTTTTCAACTTATATGATACGGTCGTGATTTTTTTTTACTTTTTATACGTCGATTATTGAACTAAATGTTAAACAGTTTTAGAGAAACGTTACAAATGAGTACATAAGTCTCCTCACTCTTCTATTCAACAAGAGATTGATGAAAAGAATGTCAAATGATGTTCACGACGTCGGATATGAAATTGATGTGGGGATGAAAGTGGTGAAATCGATGAGATGTATGCTGGGAACGAAAGTAGTGAAATTGAGGAAATTGATGTCGGGGATGAAATTATGAAAATGGATGGAGGATGGGGAAGAAATAAACGAAATTAATGTTGCAAAATTGCCTTAAATTTCCTGGATTAATAAGGCCAATTAATAATTTTAAGTTAATGTTTGAGGTGTAATTCGAATAGTGTAGTGCAAAGAGGTCATTGTTAGTCTTGTAATCATGAATTTCTATGGACAGAAAAAAGAAATAAAGACAGATTTTGAAGGATTATGCTGCCCTAGTGAACTTGCACAAAAGTTCATTTTGATACCAAAAAAAAAACTATAAAAATAGTATACAAACTTTTGACACTGACACAATTCTTCAGTCACTATTTCGACAGTAGAAAAAGTATTTTCTACAATGATTTATATCAAGAATCAATTGTGCAATTAAATGGATGATGTACGATGTTTTAATAGAGTAAAAGATATTGAATGGAATGATTTTGAATTTCGATTTATTATTAAATAAGCTCTTTAACTTCTAAATTGCCTAATAATTGAATGATAATTTGATTGTGTATGTTGAATATATATATATATATTCAACATAATACATAAATACTCCCATGTGGGAGAGTTACTTAAAAAGTGTCTTTATACATATTGTAAATTTTCATCATAATCAAAGTTATTAAAATCGGTCCGACCCGGACGGTCGGCCCAATAAACCGGTGACCCGAGCCCTTGATCTAGCCAACCAACTAATTTTATATAGATGCAATTGGCCTGGTCAAAATTCGGATTTGATCAGGCCAACATGCGAATTTTGAATAATTTTCGAGCTGCTTCAACCCGATTGATTTTTAACCCAAATTTCAGAACTCTTTTACATTGAAATTGCACGTACAAAAGATTTGAACTATTGACCTCTAAGTAAGTAAAGCACAAACTTGCCACTAGTGCAAGTAACACTTTATCGTCTTTTGTTTAATAAATTATATCTAATTTATGAATAATTTGCTACTTCTAAATACATTTTTTAAAAATTCGTCCAACATTTACATTCACCTTGTTATTTCAAATAATTATTTTATATACTTATTTTGTTTGAAAAAAAAATTAATTTAACTAAGATAAATTGAATAGACAATGCACAAATTTTTTGTCAATAACTAATAAATAAATTGTAAATCAAAAAAAGGGAAAAATATATTTTTTAATATAGTATACAAAATTTAACCATTATCACTGATAAATGAGTTCAAAGAATCATTAATTTAAATGTATAGAAAAATTAGTGACAAAGAATTTGAAAACTTTAATTTTTTTCTCAGACAAAAAAAAAATTATACTTTAAATATTATTAAATTATTTTTAAGTAATGACCCACCGGTCCGACCACTGGTTCACCGGTCCGATTAGTAACCCAATGACCTGGTACCTTGATTAGGTCGATGTTCGAGTCGGGTCTGATAACTATGATCATAATGCTGAAGATACCTACAATATGAAGAAATGAGTAGACCGTGAAATTAAGAGTGTAGCAAAAATTCATGCTTCAACAAGATTGGTTTCGAAGCATGTTCTAACATTACTTTTGATGAAATATTGCCCTCACCATCTATGTAACACACAAATGCGAAGATATGCATCCGAATGAAACCTTGACGTTATCTACATTGTAAAAAGGAAAAAATTCATTAACCATATATTAACTATACACAATTCAAAAACCATGTTTGAAGTTTAACTAATACAAAAATCAGGTTTTTATCTAATTAATTAAAAATATTTATTAATCAAATATAATAAAATTACAATTAGACAATTAATGATCACATGTACACATTTATAGGTCACATATTTATTTCTTAGTCACATATCTTCAAATTAATTGGTCACAAATTATTTCGAAATCACGAATCAAAACTTTGATAGGTTGTGGATTATTTCGTGGTCATGGATCACAATTTATCCATCAATTTTATAGGTAACAGTTTATGTCATTGGTCACAAATCTTAAAAATTATAGGTCACGAGTCACAACTATAGGTCACAAATGGTTATAAATCGAAAATATTATAGGTCACAGGTCACGTATTTTTGAATTTGACGATCACAAATTATTTTTTAGTCATAAAATGATTGAATTTCAAGGTCACAGATTAATTGTTGGTCACAGACACCAAACACCGATCTCGATCCACCTCAGTACATGGTCACAAATACTCCACCACCAAACCTACCACCATTGCCATCGGAACCACACCATCGCCACCTAAACTAAATCACCAACAAAATCATCACCGCGTCCTTCACCACACCACCACAACCTCCAACAAAACACCGACCAAGAAAGCCGACAACAAACGCCACCACCGCACCCACATCCACGCTGTACAGAGTCCTCCACCATACAAGACACCGTCATCGCACAAGACATCATTCAAATCCATCGCCAACCAAACATATCGCCACAGCAACCTCACGCCCACAGCCAGCACCCTTACCACCAGCAATACAAACCCCAAAACTACTCCACACCCACTACAAAAATTGAATTCACAGTTGAAGACCGCCGCCGCCGCCACCACCATTTTTGCAAGACCACCGTCACCAAACTGCAAACAGCAACACCACTGCACAGGCGCACACACCACTACCAGTCAAATCCACCACTACCGCCTGTAAGTTGTAACCTACCTAGATCGACTGTAACCCTATTCGTGGTCGCGAAGCAGAGGAGAAGAGAGAGAAAACCAATAGAATAGCCACCAGTGAGGATGCTTTTGACCGTCACCTCCGTCGTGATTGTTGTCATCATCGTGAATCGTCGCCGATGATAGTGTTTCATGATCGAGAGAAGGCAAAATATGGAGATGGTAGAGAGAGAAAACAAAACGTGAAATTAGGGTTGGGAAAATTGAATTGGAAGAAATTAATATTTAAATTATTAAATCAATACCTGATTATTGCATAATGAAACTCTAGCCCTGATGTTTGAATTGTGATGTTTAAACCCTTGGATTTATGTAATTTTCCCTTGTAAAAAACCATAAAAGTCTTTTATGCAACTCTTTATGAAGAATCACGATTAATTCTTGACTTATGGTCTTCAATTTAATTTAAAATTGTTTTAAACCATAGGAGTTTTTCTAGTATAGAAAAGTCTGTCAGCATCACAAGGCACCCAGACGCTTTTAGACTTCCTTTTGTGATGTACGTGTAAGGATAGTCAGGGGTACAAAAAAATTAAAAAAAAAAAACTCTTCCTGAACATTAACAAAAAATTTCTCAAAAAGAGTTTTGTTTACCCATCAAAAATCAAAGGAAAATGCTACGTGTACACCATAAGGTGTACACAATGCATTACATTTTCCTCACATGAAGAGGAATTTATGAATATTTTATTGTATGTGAGCCCTCCTCCATGTGAGAGTGGTGTAATGTTGTGTGTACATCATTGTGTACACAGAGCATTACCCAAAATCAAATGGAGCGAGGATTGTACTTGGATAAAGCCAAACCACCGCCACACCCCTATGCTCGTGTACATGTACAACATATTTTATTTATAAAATACATAAAATTATTACAACATTTTATTATTATTATTATTATTATTATTATTATTATTATTATTATTATTATTATTGTGAATTATAAGGTAGGTTGATAATTTCTCTCTCAAAATTGCACAATCTTCTAATTAACAATCTGATAGTTTGAACACGATGGACATTATGACTTAAATAATGAATTTCAAGATTTATTGAAAAAAATTGTGCTACATGTATATCACAATTTACAAATTTGTTTACTATTTACATAATCATTTGCATATTAATGAAGTATTGAAAAGAAAGTTGTAGATTTTTTTTATTTGATTAATGATTAACTCTGATGCGAACCCCAATAGCAACGAATACTAATGAACCCACAACTAGATTG